GCCATCGCGCCGGCAGCCGGTCAGCAGCGCCGTCTGTCCTTCCCTCTCCTTCAGCGAGGCCTGTCCCCTCCCCTCGCGGGGGGCCAGTCACCTGTTGAGTCTGCGACTGGGCGGCTATTTTTAGGGGTTTTCTATATTTAACATGAAGCCTGACTGGCATGCGGGCCTTCCGAGCAGACAGCTGCTGCGCCGCGCCTCCTGTTTTGGTCAGGGGGCGTTTCACATACAACACGCCGCTCTGTATAGTGCGGGGACCGATTTTGTTCAACACTCTATTCCCAGTGGCTGGCGCACAGTCGGCCATTAGTAAACATTTGTAGAGCCCTAACCGGTTTGGCTCAGTGGATAGAGCCTCGGCCTGCGGACTGAAGGGTCCCAGGTTCGATTCCGGTCAAGGGCATGTACCTTGGTTGCGGGCACATCCCCAGTGGGGAGTGTGCAGGAGGCAGCTGATTGATGTCTAACTCTATCCCTCTCCCTTCTTCTCTGTAAAAAATCAATAAAATATATTTTAAAAAAACATTTGTAAACGAATTGTGTATTTTTGAATATCAGTTTCTTAAATCTATAAAATGTATAGTAATTTGTACTTTAAATTATATTTATGAAATTTAAATAAAGTAACATAGGAGATACCAGCTTAGAATCTGGCACATAACAGTACCTCAATAAATAGATTAGTCGCTGTTCTTTTTAAAAAAAATATATATTTCTATTGATTTTAGAGAGGAAAGGAGAGATAGAAACATCAATGATGAGAGAGAATCATTGATTGGCTGCCTCCTGCACGCCCCCTACTGGGGATGGAGCCCAAAACCTGGGCACATGCCCTTGACTGAAATCGAACCTGGGACCCTTCAGTCCGCAGGCCAAGGAGCCTGAAGCTCTATCCACTGAGCCAAACCGGCTTGGGCAGTCACACTTCTTTGCAAAGAGCAGAACTCACTCTAACTAGTTTCTAAAAGACAAGCAGCTTCGAATCGTGGGCAGCTCACAGGACCTCCACGGAGGCCTGCCATCTGCACAGCAGACGCGAACCCTTCTGGGGCAGCTGCAGGCAGACACCACACGTTCCCGCGCTGGACGCTGGGTGCCAAAACTTCAGCAGTGCTGCGGGGGAAAGCCAGCTCCTCCACTCTCACCCCCTCTCGAAAGGGCATCTTTGGAAGCTGGCCCTGTGATTTGCTGTCTTCTGGGCCCGAGAATCGCGCGGGCCCCACTGGCAGCACCTAGGCCTTCGCCTGTGCTCTAGTTTCGAGAAAGTCCAGGTAATTGAGTTCTGGCTGCTGCCTTAGGGGGCGGGAATCTATCTTGGAGAAAATCCCCAAATATAGGAAGAGGATCCAGAAGATCCTGGACAGCCACAGATTTGACCACTGCCTCCTGCTCAGTGTGTCATTTCAACCTGGAAAGTGAGGGAATGAAGAGAGCCCCCCAGGCCTGGGGAACGAAGGTCACTAGAGAGCGGCGGTCCTGGGCACGGCAGGCCCGCAGGAGCAGGTGCTCTGCTAGCACAAGCCCGTGCTTACTGAGAGCTGTGGTCCAGCAGGATGCCTCCAGCTTCGAGCCAGAGCGGATGCACCTAATGTGAACCCACAAAAGGGAAGGGGATTTTATAGCCTAATCTAAACGTGTAGAAGGAAAAAGAGGAAGGCACATTGTCCGAGTACGGTTCTTTAGTAACCTTGTGAAACAGTCAGATGTTACGTCGTGTTAAGTTATCCCTGAGCCCTCGCTGAGCTATAATGGAGCTCTTCCTGTAGTTTTTCCCAGTTGGGCTTTGAAATTACTGCTGAGAAGATGGGGCCTAATTTCCGTTAAAGTTACTTGGCATCTCCCTCCACACAGCTCCCTCCAGCCCCCTCTGCACTTAGGATAAGGCTCTTGGAGAAATAAAGAGGGCGGCCCTGGCCCGTTGGACTCCGTGGATAGAGCGTCAGCCTGAGGACTGAAGGTCCCGGGTTCGATTCCAGTCAAGGGTCAAGGGTCAAGGGCACATACCTCATATCTCAGTTGCAGGCTAGAGCCCCCAATTGGTACAAGAGGCAACCAATCAATGTGTCTGTCTCACATAGATATTTCTCTCTCTCTGTCTCTCCCCTGCTTCCACTATCTCTAAAAAAAAATCAATGGAAAAAAATATCCTTGGGTGAGGATGAATCAAAAATAATAAATAAAAATAAAAAAATAAAGAGGGGTGCTTTTACCTGAAAAGGTTCTTGGTTCCCCCTCTCCACTCGGAGTTTGTGGGTCATTGCCAATCAGTTCCCTGGGGACCCCCATCCCTGTGTCTCAGTTTGAGAAGTTCCCACTGAGCTTTGCTTGCTGGTGCTCGGTGACTGCCCTGGGGCTGCCACCAGGCCCTGCTGGTCACCTCCTGCCGTGCCCCTGTGAGTACCCAGGGGCTTCTCTTTAGTCGCCTGTGCTTTCCAAGGTTGATCATGGTTCTCTCTTAACTGCCTTTGTGTAGAGAGAGTGCGGAGCTGATCCTGCAGTTTGTATACTGGACATTGTTTTTCAGGTTCTCACACACAATTAATTGGGCTGCTGCCAACGCTTCCAGTTACTGGAGGTTTAGGTTTTGCTTTGCTTTAGGCAGAGAGAAGAACAAACTTACCAGTTGTTAAGTAAACCCTGTGGGCAGCATCCCAGCCCCTTTCAAACGTTCCTCAGTTGTTGGAGGTGAAGGGGGTGGAGGGAGGCCTCCATGTCAGTTCTCTTGGGCCTCCTTCCCGAGATGCTGCATATCAGGAGCATGTTTTCCAGAGCAGAGAGAATCCCAGCATGTGAGCTACTAAATGTACATTTTGCTTATGGGGGCTCTAGGACAGCATACTTGACATTGGAATTGTTCCAGAAAGACAGCTGAGTGGTGATTCTGGACATGGTTAGCTACGAGGAATGGGAAAGGGAGTTGGAGACGACGATCAAGGTGGAGCCCCAAGTGGGCTGATGACAATAGTATGATAGGGTCTAAAGGGGGCGTTAGCTCCCTCTGCCCCTGGAAGGGACTAGTCCCGTGGTTGGCAAACTGTGGCTCGTGAGCCACATGCAGCTCTTTGGCCCCTTGAGTGTGGCTCTTCCTAAGCCTTAGGAGTACCCTAATTAAGTTAATAACAATGTACCTACCT